TTGTCTCAATTCTTCTTTAGAAATTTTTGACTACAGAACAAAATTCTGGATATGAGAACACAAAGTAGAATTGTGTTTCAAATTAAACAAAGTGTACAAGTAATATGATTTTTAAAATATTTTGTCCTCTTACTATTTATTGCTGAATTATTTAAAATTCTTGATTTAAAGCTTTGGAACTTTCACGTTAAGCTTTAAACTCAGAGTATATTTTTTGCTAGTTTAGAAATGCCATAGTTTGTCTTTGTCCATTGTATTCAAATTATTGGTTGTACATGTACATGTATGCATGTACATATACAAATTTTTAAATGCATATTTAAAAGAATGTATAGGTCTTTCTTAGGCTACATGTTGAAACTGGGCAATTTTAAGAAATTTTTTTTTTAATATGAAAAATTCAATTTGCCTAAATTACTTCATACATTTCTATGATATATAAATTATAATGGTAACTTATTGACAAACAAGTTTACTAAAGAAGAATATCAGCAGTCTTGTTTCAAGTGATCATTTCGTAAGTTTTATGGTCGATACAATGACCATGTTAGCAAATAAAATTTTTCATGTCAAATGCTGACTGATGTTTCTCATACTGATTGTTGGTCAATTATTGTCCCCCGTCACTGAAATTGGGTGATATTAGTTTGGGTCCGTCCGTCCGTCTGTCTAGCTGTTCGTCTATCTCTCTGTCTGTAACGCTTTCGTTCCTGCATGATATCTCGACAACCCGTTGAGCTTTTGCAATAAAATTTTGCATAGCAACTCCCTGTTACATAAGGAAAAACCCTATTGATATTTAAGTCAAAATGTCATAAATTCTGGGTTTTTTAACACTTTCGGTTCCTCATGATATCTTGAGAATTCTTTAAGCTTTTACAAAGAAATTTTACACAACAAATCCCTAAGGCCTAATGTTGACGCCCATTTATTTTGAGATCAAAGTGTCAAAGTTCAAGGTCATTAATTTATACCTTTTATACAAATTGACAATATTGAACATGAATATATTCATGTATGTGACCTAATGTTTGCATACAATTTTAGAAAAGAAGAAAGCGGCTCCGTGGTGTAGGGGTATGTCTCTCGCTTTACAAGAGAGAGGCCCCGGGCTCGAATCCAGAACGATCCTTTTCCTTTAAAAAAAAGTACTCTTATTACTAAATGATAGTATTCAGCATGTGAAGTGAAAAAATTATAACGTCTGGCTTGTACAAACTCATAAAATCATCATTACAATGTGATTAATATTTTATTTATTAAAGAGAATCGTTTAATTATGTGTACATAATACAGAATAAACAATCAAATCTTTATATCCATATTGGCTATTTTTATTTGCTTTAGTATACATGTATATACATTTAATAATTTTAAAATTTAGCCAACCCCCCTCCTGCGCCTGAACTGCGCATGGTCTTCTTTTTCCCGAAGCAGGGATCACAAATTCTCTGAATCAGCTTGTCAAAGCTGCTGTCACAATTTTTTTTACCTACGTATAACTTCCCAACTTAAGAATTTAGTGTCGGGTTAAAAAAAAATAATGATGGTCTGAGCTGCAATTCTTGCCGTAAATTATTAAATGGATTGTGATTTTTACCGTCCAACTCCCATAAAAATCTTTTTTCTTTCTTTCAGAAAGGTTTGGAAACACAATTTTCATAGGACATGGTTTAAAATGCAGACTGTCAAAATTAACTGTTTATTTGTACACTGGGGTTGTGGCGGCTTTTTCTGTTATTTCCCGTTCATGACAAAAGCACAGGGCGGTTGTGACCGGTCGGCAGGGGATGCCTACTCCTCCATAGCTTCAGATCCAACCTCCAATGTTTTGGAGGACCGTTTTTACTAAGCTCCTATTTGGCATTGTTTGATGGACTTTTGATTGAGACTGTACGCTATCTCCTTATGTTTCATAATCGAATCATCATTTGTACACTTCCATGAACAATTACTTTGTCATTTATTCACTGAAATTTTTATCAAATATACCTATTCAAGCTACCTACGATATCATCTCCTCACGAACTACCAAAATTGTGATTACCCACATACATTGAATTCTCCACGAACTAAAATGATTCCTCAATGAGATCTTTTGTTTTATCAGCATATATCACGTCATCATCAACCTAATAAATTGTAATGATATATAACTGCAAACTGAATCTATATTACAAAGCATTTGATATATACCAATACCCAACAAACGTGCTGATTTTCAACTAAGAAATGTAAAGCCACTTGCTTTTGTTTTTGTTTTTTTTCATTAAGGTTTTTATAAAATAAAAGAAAAGAGCTGATACATGTATAAAAACATGAAAAAGATTTAAAAGTACAAAGGTATAAAGTACACCATGAAATACTTAGTTAGACTGTATAATAAAAGAAGGCAGTAGAGATAGCAGAACCAACCTCATTCACGGAAGACTAGTCGTAAGAAAAAGCAATTCATGAAGTTAAAAGAGAATGTATCTCTATACGTTATTGACCAGGACGCGCAAAAGGAAACTTAATACTGATAATCATTAAACATATTGGTTATGGAATATCAAAAACTCCTTTTGGGCATTCGATTTACTGCAGAGATTTTAATATACGCTTATGATAAAAGGACATCCCCGTGCCCGTATCATGTTTCTATTTTATTCTTGATTGAGTTTCAGGAACTGTGGAAAATATCATATGAAATGTGACCGAACACTTTCTGTCGTAAAATACAGCTACTTGGATCTAATATACTTTTATTAAGATTTCAAGATCCTGGTCATTAAAAGCCTCACATGGTAGACAAGCAGCTGTGAAACTTAACATCTTATTTTCTTTTAATTTAACTCCTTGAAAATGACAGAGTTAAGGATGGATTCTTCTCATATTTCTTATAATCACAGAATCTTGATTTTCTGAATACTCAATATTCAGACTGTGTACACTTATTAAACATCCAAACGAACCGGTGTAATCAGCCTTGATTTTCGGTCAAGGTCGTTTGAAAGTCAGTCCTAAAAATAGTACTTTTACACAGAAAAATTTTGAAATTTACGCATAGGGATAAATTTTGCTGACAGAAAAAAATATCTTGCTCAATAAAATTAAAGTTGTAACTTATTTTTGATCACTAACTAACATGAATTGAGATGGTGGGAAAAAACATGAGATCCTCAATATTCAATAAAAACATTTAATCCGAATTTCCTCGATAATTTCTTTCAAATTTCTCAGTTTTCATAAATTTATATGAAATTTCATCTCAATTTTTACAATTGATCATATAATGTCAAATAGTTAGATTTTTGTCAGATGAGTATTCAAATGTTGAAGATTAATTTACAAGGTAGAAAAGATATGGTATTCATGCTAATTATAGAACAAATTTAGCCCGAATTTACTCAACAGTTTCTGAAATCTTCCATTTTACAGAGTGGTGTTCAAATCTTAAGAAAGATTCTTCACCCCCCAAAACAGGCAATTTGGTGTAATTGTGACACATATATACATTCAATTCTTCCATTTATACATTTCATTTTATGATAGTTTGTACAGATAATATTTAAAATATTTATTTCGAATTTCCTCTGTCATTTTATTCCTAGGAATAAGTTAGGTTTGACAATTTTATAAAATACATTCTGGATTCTTTTCCTATTTTATATATTCAGAAAATAATGCAATTATGCATGGAAACATTTCAAGATATGCACAATTAAATGACAAGAAAAAGATGTGGGGTCATCATCCTTGATTTTGCTTGAAGGTCATTTGAAAAGTTGATGCTAAAAATAGATTTTTTTCCTCCTGTGGAATTGAGAAAATCCAATGTGGTATTTTAAAATTATGTTTTGGAAAAATGGAGATGTTTAGATATGAAAAAAACAATTTAAGTCTTAAGTTTTATGTTAAAGCAATGTACTAAAGTAAAAAAAATAACAAACTTTTGATCACAAATGACACAAAATATTTATTCCGAATTTCCTCTGTACTCTTTATAAAGTGATATTTTAGTCTTTGACATCATTCTTTTTCAATTTTTTTTACTTAAATCATATATTCAGAAAAAAATATTTTTACAACCATAGGAAAGATAGATGTTGAATGAATCATTTACAACAAAAAAATAAAGGAGTATTCATATTTATTAAATTGCCAGGTTAGCTCGAATTTCCTCATTTTAAAAATTATCATTGAAAAAAGAAAATGCTTTCAATATATCATATAGGTTAATAATTTAAGAGACAGGACAGGCGTTTAGATAAATACATTTTCTCTAAAATGTGATATGATGTATTATTTTGGAAATAATTGCTGAAATTATTGCCATGTTTCCAAAAAACTTTTAAAAATTCAATCCGAATTTCCTCTGTTATAAAATATACTGGTTTCATTATTTACAAAAAAAGTAAAGGTTCGCGAACGAAATACATGTATATTTTTGCTGAGTTAAAGGCCAAAACTTTATGTTATATTATAGAATCTTTATATGTTTTGTACATGAACTATATGACATGTATATAAATATTTATCAGTGCCAACACAATTACAATAATTGTCAAGGGTGCAACATACTAGTATAAGAATCACCAATTGTTCATACAATTTTATACAATACACTGCATCTAGATTTTGAGGCTATACAATGTACATAAATCACACAATAATATAATTTACACAATAATACACAATAAATATGTATTACAATGATTTCTTTAAATATATGGTATTTCTTAATAAATAAGTGTTATTTTCAGTATTTCTGTACATTGACTATCAAAGGTATATGAGACAAATTTGATACTTTTCCTTTCAAGAAAAAAATACATGAACTTCCTTTCAAAAGTTAACTTATAATTATTGTATTTTTGGTAGCTAAATAAAAACGAAATACATCTTAAATCTCTCCTGTGTAACAAATAATTTACAAAATCTTTCATTAGGGAGTGTTTATAGGTAAATCCCCTTTTTCTGTGGCAAGGTTATGTGCACCAAGTCTCAAGCTGTTAATGATTGGTCTCTCTGTTCTTTTTTTTTTGGGGGGGGGGGATATCAGTGTAATTCACAGCATCTGAAATCATCAAAAACAACAATATCTTGATAACATTTTAGTTTGGTGAATTATGAACCTTAATTTTCTCTTTTGAATATTGATCTGATATTGTTTGTTTAAATGCTTCTCAGATATGATTTTTAATGAATTTGAGGAAAAATCTTAACTTGCTGAAAAATGAGAAAATCTTTTTAGTTCACCACTCACTTGATGTGCGAATTTCTTGCTGAACATCTGTTCACCTCCTGAGAGTCCAATTTTTTTGCCTACGATTATAAAAAAAGGATTAAATATATGCATAGCAGTAAAAATGCTGCATTACATGTTACAGTGTATTATACTTTCAATTTAAATACTAAAATCTGATTAGTTTAGATGCATCTAACAATCCTTATTGTTATACTTTTAAAAATTTGTTCCTATACAAATCTATACATTTCTAATGTTTTGCTGAGCGGGCATAAAACAATTGATATTAATTAAACCACTGAGTGAGATGTTGGACCGGTCGATGAAATGTTGGACAACTTACATGCACATCACACAATTGGTGGAGCTTAATCTAATTTGCATTTGTTGATGTTTAGCAGTGACGGACGTGAAGTTAAGACAGTACAAGATACATATACATCTAAATAAATATTAAAATGAAAGGTATCACAAAACATTTACTGACTGTGTTCTCAAGCAAATAAATTTTGTCGATCCTCAAACCAAATTGTCTGCCTTTGGCCTATCTGTCTCAGGCAGACACTTTGGATCTTGGGTCTGATAAAACGCAAGTTGCCCTTGAACTCAGTCAGTAATATTTAAAATTGACATCCCTTGTATCAGTTGACAATGGTTTTCCTCGGGGTGTCAATTTGGATTGAAGCCCTCAAAAACATGCACTATTTATATAATAGTTAGATACAGTTGTGTTCATATTTCTTATAATTATGTACCTCAGTAGTCCATCTGCAAGCAGATTTTGTTCAATCATCCTGCCTAAGTCTGGCCTTCAGTCTACCTTCAACTACAAGTAGTCTACTCCTGGGTAAATTAAGTACTGTAGGGCTGTTTGCTCCTAAGAATTAAACATGAACAGTTCTTAGACAATTGTTTTTAAATTAACAAAAACTGGTTATAAGATTAAACATTCAATCTTATCTGTATTTCATTTATTGATTTATAAAAAAAAAATGAATGAAGTTTTTTAATAAATATATTTTATTCTATACACCACGTTGTATAACAGTGTATAATGTCTTATTTAAATTTGTACTATAAAAAAAAACATTTTAAACCTAAAAACACAGAAAAAATACAATAATATAAATAATTTCTGGACCATTGTGTTTCATTTTGCTCCATAAATTAGACAACTGTTTGTCTCAATGTTATTGATTTTTCCACACAATATATACTCATTTTTCACTTTGATTTGTACCCCAACGGAACACCTTACTTTTCTAACAACTTGATGATTGCTGTGTCTTTCACAAATAAGGCTAGTTAGTAATGTAACTTGTTGTAATTATATACAAAAAATGCTATTTTTGTGAATAATTATTAGTCATAAAACTGACGAACACATGGAAATGATAAATTTTAATCCTCAAATGTTGAACAGTCGCGGAAACAAGCATACGAAGTACATCAATCTATAATATCCTTGCGAATTCCCATTTATCAGTAAAAACCACGTAATTCAATTTCAAAATTATAAATTAAATTGTCAGACATACATAACTAACTTACATGTACAATCTCACTGCACAGTGACCCGACATGACATCAGGCGATCGAGGCAACGTGGGTCTGCAATCTCGCATGTTTGTGACCTTCGACAGTTCAAGTTTCCTTTGGTTGATCGGGTGTCCCGGCATAAAGAAATGGGTGACTTAAAATTGTTTTAATCATACCTGGGCTTCTGCAATGCTTCAATAATGTTTACGGCTTGTATATTTTACAAAACAATCCTCTCGGGGTTATCTACGGGAAACGACCTGGACATGTTGACATTCGCTACGGAACTGTGCATTTTATGGCAATTGTCGCAAATCAAAGAAAAAATCACGAACAACTTAATGTCTTTAATAGAAATAGACTCAACAATACATAAGCTAATAAATAAAACAATAATTATTTATTCAGATTGATTAAATATGTAATTTGCATTTTACGACTTCCAAAATCTATGGAGACCCATTGACGATGTAAAATGCTGACAAGAATCCATCCTTAAAAAGACTAATAGCTATGCTTTTCCTTCTTTATTATCTTAAATATTTCTAAAATATTGTGCTAAATAATGAATCTATGTGGAATAAGTTTGGTCATTTATCAAAGTTTGTTTATCCTGTAAAAAGCAATTTTTTATGCTTCGATTGTTTTAGATTCAGTGTTCTTAATTTAGATTAAAAACGTACAAATTAACTTTTCTGTTTTTCAATTTCCATTATTTACATATATCACCTGCATGTAGGGTTTATCTCAGTTGATTCGACATACAAGAGCATGCTCTACGTACGAAAGGGCATTTTTAACAAGGCAAGTTAATGAAAGATAAATGGACAATATATGTGACTGGAAATCTATCAGCCTATCTAAATATAGTCAATACAATGATTTTGTCTGCAAATGCAATTTTTTCTTTAATCAAATGGTATTCCTTTCTCATTGAATTGTCTACGAATTTCTCATTTTGTATCATCATGAACAAGGCACGGTAGGCATACCTGGTTAGGGTTGGATTCTTACTCCTCCATAGAATTTGATCCCACCTTTGAGCTTGAGGTCCGTATTTGCACTGCATGTTCTTAATTCGTATTATTCAAATGAACTTCTCCATTTTATAATTCTTACCCCGATTTCTATTCGTTTCATCTTATTCTGCTTCAGTTGTTTTGATTCAGTGGTCCATGTCTTTCTCTACACTCATCCTGTGGTATTCCGTTGGATATTAAGGCGAGATTAATGAGAGTTATGTAAATATTTCTAATTTCAAATCAAAATGCACATGCGGAAGGAATTGAAATTTAAATTTCTGTTACAGAATCTTTGCGATTAAGAATAAGGTATCGAAAAAACACATAAAAGATACCTCAGAGTCTGACACACCTGTTTCATATTTGGTTATTATACTTGAAAAAGTCGTTAATGGTAATCTAACAACCAAGCTCTATGACACACGAGATGACTTTATCTTCTTTAACGTCAAATTCCCCTATTTATGCAGCAATATACCTTCATCAACTTCATACGGAGTTTATTTATCTCAGTTGATTCGATACGCAAAAACATGCTCTAGATATAAACAATTCTAAAACGAGGTAAATAATTGACAAACAAGTTGATGAAACAAGAATATCAGCAATCTCGTTTAAAGTCATCATTTCGTAAGTTCTATGGCCGATACGATGTCCTTGTAAGCAAAAACAATTTATCTTTTTTTTTTTTTTTTTGAGTTTTTCTTACTTATTGTGAGTCCATTATTTAAACACTGAATTGACGACGGATTTTCCGTTATTTCCCGATCGTGAAAAGGAGCGCACGGTGGGTGTAACCGGTCGGTAGGATATGCTCACTCCTCCATGGCACCTGATCCTACCTCCGATGCTTTGGAGGTCCGTGTTTGCTCTGATCCTATTTTGTATTGTTTTATGGACTTTTGAACTTCAATAATGTTTGTTATCTCCATCTGCTTCATCAAAAAAAAAAAAAAGCTCAACTTAACTTCTTTTCTCAGTTCACTTCATTTTTTAGAAAATGATTAGTAGGTTGCATTTTGTTTCTTTATTCAATATCTATACATCATTAAAGGTCACCATGAAAGTCAATCTGATATTTTTTGACACATTTCTGCAGTGCATTAATTTTACACTTCTTAAAAGCAGAAATAAAAAGTTAAAATGATGCAAACCCGCAATTCGGCCGCAAACAAAATTTATCATTTAAAAAAACTTTTTTATGATTTTAAAAGCGTTCTTGCAAGGAAAGCACGTCAAGATCTTTAAAGGTGAAATTGAATCATTTCTATTTCTGTAAAGAATTTGAATAAAAATTTTACCACATTTGCCGATTAATTTCAGTTCATTTTATTCAGGTAAAAATATCACAGAATGTCATGATTCACACACAAACGTTACAGATTAGCCTACTGATAGAAAAAAAACACATCTCAGCAATATGGTATGCAATGAAGATCTAATTGAACACACATGTATACATGTAATTCAGTATTATTAAATAAGTTGCACGACATATAGATGATAGATACTGTAGATTGGCAAATAATCACGATGGTTGTAATTTCACTATGTTCGCGATTCGTAATTTTTCCGCGAAATTAAACCCATCGTGAATGCTATCATTGGTTTCTATAAACGTTTAAATGCGTATACGTAATTAAAATAAATTTCCAGGAGCGCGAAATTAAAACCATCGGGATGAATACTTTTCTAGAAATCGTGAATTTTTTACACCGTGTAATTAAAACAACTTACAGCAGTTCCTAAGGATAGCCCATAAAAGCCTTAAAAAAATAAAAAAAATAATAATAAAATAAAAAAAAGACTGATTTCCAACGTGGTCCTCAAATAATATGCTAGTAACAAAACTACATTAACATTGGAATTTAGGCAGGGTATTTTCATGAGTCAGTATAGCATAATGCTTTGAAAAATAACGATGTTTCCCAATAAAATTTTTAGCTTACGAATTCTCACAATAATAGATTCATCGATGTAAAAAAAAAAATCAATGATCATTGATGAATGATAAGAATTTATTGTCTTCAAAATGAAGATGTTGGCTTCTAAAGATGAACCACGTGCTGATACCTGGATATTGGTCACGTGATAATGCCAATAGTTTCTGCAGAATATGCTACGCTGCAAGCCGCGGTGCGAAATATAGGAGAAATATCCTAGTTTCATTTGCAGCTGTAGAGCATATGTTCAAAACATTTTTTACTAGCTGAAAAATCTTTCAATAAATTTTATTTATTTTTTTATAATGCACTTTAACCAAGTTATTATTATCCGGAAAATCATGGCGATTTCCTTTCATATCTTACACACTCCAAGGCTGGGGAGTATCGATTGTAAACTCCTTTTATATAACCAGAAATTATCAATTATCTGATGTGAAACGAAATTGAAATATAAAACAACAATTAATACTAAATGTAACGCAAGTTTTTAAAACATTTTACTCATGATTTTCACTTGTAATCATTTAAGAATTAACTTATTTAACTAATAAAAAATAAGGTCTCATTCCCCATGTGCACTCTCTAACACAACCACAAATAGATCGGCCGCTGATGCGGCCGATAATAATAACCTAGTCATGTGAACTCTTTAATAAATAGAGAAATTCGATATCAAAAATCAAGTTTCTAATAGTGAATTTTGCCAAAAATGTATGTAAAAGAAGTTGTTTTAGTTTTTTTTTCCTCTTGAGCTTTGACTTGGAATTTTTTTATACGCTCACGTGTATAAAGCTCACCCTGACTGACCTGTAGTGGCAGTCTTCTAGCCAAAGTTGACTCTGGTAAATGAATGTATTGTGTTATTTTTGTAGAACAGAATTAATTGTTGTTCCCATTTTTTGTGTATCAGAGACAACTTACGCGCATACGGAACGTGAGTTAGTGCATGCTTGTTAAACCACACATCATTTTTCTGACCGCTAGCACGGCCATCCCTCTGATTGTCATCCGTTTGCCCTTTGTTGTATTTTAATGTCTATCTCTGTTTCCTTCTGTCTTATCTCTTTCTGGTATTATTTCCCGATGATAGCGGAAACTGTTAAAATTTCTACAAAATTTACAATATGTAAACCATTCCAAACGTTCAAGGAAACAGACCATGTCGTAATTATTAAATATCTGCATAATATACAGCGCAGAAAATATTTTTTCCTGTTACATACTATTTTAAGCATCAATAACCTATAATTTAAGTATCATTGTTGCAAATTGCATTAAACAGCAGATATATCACATGCTGCATTGTTTTTAATGAGTTTTACAGTACAAGTGTGACCGTTTTTAAGGAGTTTAAGGAACAAATACCAAAAATTCGGTTACGTTGCATTTCCTTTTTTTTATTTGTTTGACTTTCTATATACATAATTTATACAGCTTTATATTACTTCTTTATCGCTGATTAACATGAAATTTAGTTCCATATTTATTTTCCTATCATGTACAAGGGATGTTGTTTCAGCAAATGCAGCAGGAATTTGTTCGAATGATTCCATCGGGTAAGCAAACCATCTCACGTGTTAATATGATGTTGTGGTCTGCTTAATTAGAGCTTCAAAAATTAAAATACAAAAAGATTTTGAGTTTTAGTTTTATATTATTTTACATTTACTGAAAACCAAAGTAAAAAAAGATATCTCTTAACATGCTTAATATGAATTGTGTATGAATTCTGTTGCCAACTTTAAATATTGGCAAGATTCTAATTTTCTAGACCAAGTTTTGTCTTTATAATTCAAAACATAATTTCAAGTGATGAGTATCCGTTTATACAGCTGTATAGCTCTTTCATATCTTTGGGGTTTTGTTAAGTTACATCAAGTACCAATCAATATCTATTATCGAAGCCAGTTTCAAATTCTAAATCTTCAGTTACTTGACTGTTAACATTTTCTATATATTGATAAAATCTACAGGTACTGTGAACACTGAGCTCACTAAATGGGACCTCCCGCCTACGTTTTGTTTACTAGTTATAATGACCGGCAATGTCCATGGTTTGCTCTAAGAGACCCTAAATAGATTTCAGATTAAAAAAAAACAAGAGTTGCACAATCCTATTATGTATGAAAGAATCTTTGTAGGTATTGTTAAAATTTATCCAGTGAAATAGGAGGCGTTAAAGATCAGAGAAACCCTAACAAAAAAATACTATTATATAGTAAACTATAGTTAACTATAGTTAACTATAGTTTACTATAGTTTACTATAGTAAATCAAAGTTCAAAAGTTTTTACCATAGTAAATCAAAGTTCCAAAGTTTTCGCCGTAGTAAATCAAAGTTCCAAATTTTTCAACATAGTAAATAAAAGCTCCAAAGTTTTTACTATAGTAAATCAAAGTTCCAAAGTTTTCACCATAGTAAATCAAAGTTCCAAATTTTTCAACATAGTAAATCAAAGTTCCAAAGTTTTTACTGTAGTAAATCAAAGTTCCAAAGTTTATACCATAGTTATGCAAAGTTCCATAGTTTTTACTTTAGTAAATCAAAGTTCCAAAGTATTTGCTATCGTTAATCAAAGTATCAATTTTTTTGTATGTTGTTTTATTAAGTTTTTTTAATTATTAATCTGTTTTAAGTGGGATGATATTAGTTTGTTTTGACTGGTTTTTGTTATACATCATAATTTTAATATGCAAAGTCATCAATTTCAATGCAATATTAACATTTAACAGTAGAAAAAAACATGTTGACTGAGGTTAATGAAGCAAATATTTTGATTCTAAATAAAGGAATTTTTATCTTATAGTAATTTTCATTCTATGAATAAAAATAAATATTGATTATTTATTGGTGCGCGAGACTATTCTTACATCAAAATTCATTTCTTGTACTTTGTTTTTTTAGGGGATGGATCGGGTATTTAAAACGTTCTCTAAAGCTTTAATAAATCTTATTCTTGCAATTTAATAAAATGTATACAATATGAAGCAAAAACATAATACCATGGGTTTTATAGTACTGAATCAAAGTTCCAAAGTGTTTACTATAGTATATCAAAGTTCCAAAGTGTTTACTATAGTATATCAAAATTCCAAAGTTTCCACCATAGTAAATCAAAGTTCCAAAGTTTCCACCATAGTAAATCAAAGTTCTAAAGTTTTTACTACAGTAAATTAAAGTTCCAAAGTTTTCACTAAAGTAAATCAAAGTTCCAAAGTTTTCACCGTAGTAAATCAAAGTTCCAAAAATTTAACTTTGGTACTATAGTTAGCTATAGTAAACTATAGTTAACTATAGTTTACTATAGTATTTCTTTTAGGCTAGGTACTCTTTAATACTATAGAAAGAATGGCATTATCCATGTTTTGCTTTCAGAAACCCAAAAAACCTGTCCGATCAAAAGGTAAAATAGGAGGTCACAATTGCACTATAAAACAAAGATTCTGTCAAAGTCTCGATAAATTTCATGAAGTGGTATTAGAGGACTTGTGGATAAGAGATGGAACCCCAAAACATACATAACAGACGGCCTGAGGGACATACAGACTGACGGACATCTTTGTCACTATATACCCTCCCACTTAATATGCACTTTTCAACAAACGCTCTGACCAATATGCCACGCAGGTTAAGAATCTATGATAAGTCATGGGGTAGAGCAAACAGGCATCAAGAAAAAAAAATTTTAGCTCAGAGCAAATACCGACAGTAGAAACATTAAAAATGAAACCAACTACCATGGAAGAATATTTTGTCGGTCGCAAAAACTATTGGCCTCATAATTGATATAGTCAATTTTGCAAATCCCTTGAACTTTAATAGAATTTGCAATATTTTCTCAACGAATGATATCTGTTGATGTCCTCTATTTACAATAATTCCAAGCACTTTGTATATAATTCATATTTCGCATTCAATTTGCAATTTTTTTAAATTTTTAACTTCATACCTTTTGAAAAATATGATTTTGAAAGACTTACACTGGATGACATTTTAAATATGTATTGACTTCTATTTCAATAGAGAGCATTCTTTATAGGTTAATAACATCATGTTTTTAAGGGGTACAAGTTTTATCTTATAAACAATGATATAAAGTATATAAATTTTCATCGTGTACACTATGGTTTTCCAAAGTTTATATAGTTTCAAAGTTATCACTATACGTAATGAAATTTTTTATTCTTTTCGTTCAAGTAATCAAAGTGTCCATGGTGTCAAAGTCATCACTTTAGAAAATCAAAGTTATGATAGTTATCACTACAACAAATCAATGTTATCACAATTGTAAACTATAGTTTTCATAGTGTCATGGTTATCACTAAAGTTAATTATAGTTAACTAAAGTATTATTTGTAAAGTTTAAAAACAGATTTGTTTTAGATGCAGGTTTTTTTCGTTTTAATTGTTTTTCTATGTTTTTGTTGCTGTTTGAATATATTCGAAGAAAAATCGAACATTTTAATGTGTTTTAACTGCTGAACATTCTGATTAAAAATTAAATTAATACCTGATATCAAATTAATAACCTTAAAATATGAAGTATATTTAATTTAAAAATAAATTTTTAAAAACATAGCAATTACATCATCAATTTGATAATAATACATTTTGAGAATTTACCTCCAATTTCAACATTATCACTTTACTTTATTGAAATAGAAAGAAGATTAAACATTTGTATTCTACATTTTGCTACTGATTCTGCTATTCTCGGTATACAGTGTACATTGTATTATATTAACATTAATCCGATGCTTTATATGCCATAGGGAACCTTTACAATGCTGTCAAAACTATCGCCAAGTAGGAGATGTTTGTGAAGGTATGGCATGAATACCATGAGATGGTAAAAAAAATCACAAAATGTAAATCATTGTTCTTAAGTAACTGTATTTCTACACGCATGATACATCAAATAACGCAACTGTAAATAATGATTGCCTGTTTATCACAACGGTTTTTACTATCAGTAGCTGATATTATCCACACAAAAATAGACAGCTGCTTTCAGAATAAATATTTGCAATCCCCCTCTCCCGTTTAAAAATTAGTCAAAAGTTCTCTTCATATTTGCTCATTCATACATGTACATGTATTTCTTACAATGATCTTAGCTACTAAATATATATACTAAATATATATTCACAAACATAAATGTTTTACCTTTACTTTCAAAGAATGCTGGCCGGGGACATACGGTTGGAACTGTCACCCATGTCCTTCCGGTTTTTATGGAAAGTTTTGTCGAGAGTCGTGTAATCAGTGTGCGTCATGTGACCCAGTTAAAGGATGTGCAACAAGTAACAGTAAGAACTTCATTTTTACAGTCCAGTGCATAGTATTTCTTTCCTCCCTTTAGAATTACTAGCAACTACTTATGATTAAGATAACACAGAAAGACGATTCAGTGAAAAGCAGAAGGAGGGTGTACGTTATAGATACTCTCACAAAATGCAGAATAAGTGATGACTTCTTTTACTGAATTTATTTCTTTAAATACAGGTGTAAGTAGATTAGTTAGCACATTATTGAATGACATTTCATTCATTAATGAAAAATGTGAAGATAAGTGACAGTTGATAGATCCTATAAACAACATGAATCATGAGCAGGGCAAAACTTAGGTCCTATATTGGTGAAGTCAGATGACAAGGAGTAGTTACTATTTCATGTCAATTGGCTAGAGGACTGTAGTAATCGGTGATAAAAATACAGTACCAACCAGCCCCAACCTGACACAAATCAATCCCACAGCAGTCCCACAGCAGCCCCACAGTGGTCTCAGCAGTCCCAGTGGTCCCAGAGAGCAGTCTCAGAGGTCCCAGTGGGCGATGTTTATTAATTTAACGGACGGAACATAGTAAGAAATGAGATTGCAAATAAACAATGGAACTGTAAAAGGCAGTTGAAATTGATTCTGAGTAGTACACGTATCAACAAATATCTACAGTTCTTACATGTATGAGACAGTTGTTTCTGAACAGGACACGCATAGAAACAATTTGAAATTATATTAATTGAAGGAAGAAGACTTTCACACATAATAATAACATGAATATTTAGTCACACTTATGTGGTTTATTAATCTTTCACCAAATAACTATATTTCTTTATTGTATATGCTTGGTATTGTTTACCATATTCATTTCTTAATATATAAAATATTAAACTTGAATTGCTTTTTTTCTACCAGAATAATTTTATTTTTAGATCTTATGATTATAGATCTAGAGCAAGGCCAATTCTCATACTATACTCTGGGGCATTTTTTTTTATTTCATGTTCTTTTTTTAAATCTTTGTTAATTTTGTCGAGTATTATTTTTTTTATTTTCACTGAATGTCAATTTAATTGTTGTTGTTTTGAACATATTTTATTGACAATATGTCAAAGGGATTGGACACAAGTTCCAAAAATTTTGATAGTTCTCTACCGATAGTTTCTCCATGTACTTAAAAAAATCGATAACACTCAGTTTTAAGTGTTTTATTATATAAACTTTCGAGTGTTAATCACGATAATGGAACCTTCAGATTATGTTAAGAAATAATTAATCTCGAAAAACATGTGTAAACATTTAATGACTTATAGTTTTATCTTGCATTCACATAGATTGAAATAAGAGTCATTGTTGACAAGCATGTTCAACGATGTGTAACAGCATGCACCGCAGGTGTAGACATCATTTTATACACATTAACTGTCCAGGTAAACACAAGCAAATCAAAAATGAAATGTCATTATTCGCGATTTTTTATTTAAGGGGTTGCATGGAATACTCTGACTTTTTAACATGATGGTATTTGTCCTAAATGTAGAATATTCAATTAAAACACATCTTTAATCTACATGTAACTGTAATGATTTTTTTTAAATAATGCTAATGCAAACTTTGAAAAAATAATTTTACCATGTTGTTTAATCAAAAAAGCTCAGATGGTTCTTTTGTTAAGTTTTAGTTTAAATTGGATAAATATCATCTCTTGACTTCTTTTTTAACTACTTTAAAAAATTCATTCTAGAAATTAATTCTAGAATACATTTTTGTCAATTTACAGTCCCTGAAGACATTAAATATAAAGATATAAATCTGTAAGAATTTTGTAAGAAATCCTTGTGTTTTATATTTTCAACATCTCTCTGCTGAAAGTAAAGAAACTAGAACAGGGAGCCTGCAAATTCAGAATACATAAGGGGGTGGAGCTATTATGTCACTCAGAAACTTCTTCACGCATTAGTGAACAAAGCAGTCTAAACTACTATCCAGATCTTCCAAAAATCAGGTTTGGTCTGGTCGGTATTGTAAGTGAAGAACATTGACTAAACAAATCGTGTATGATATATTGATATACACATGTACTGTGTTTTTTCACATAACACGTACGACTAAATGATGTCATATTTGGACAAACAGTGAACATAAAACAACAGAAGTCTGAAGTTACTGAAATTTAAACAGTTTCTTAAAACAATCTATGTAATCACTCATTTGTAAGTAATCTATCTCTGTTTGCTAATTAATTGCACTTCGAATATCTCTCTGCAATTCAGTACTGATTTGAATTAGTTGAAAGATATCAAAGTTTTCGGAATTTCTTTTTTAGATTCTACCGCTAGAATTACAAATAACAACACGAATCAGGGGACTCGATGGATAGCTATAGCCATATCTGTGACGGGTTGCTTTGGCGTTGTGTTTGCAGCTTTAATGTGCATTTATTGCATACATATTAGGTAGCTTATTAAAGGATATTTTTTTTTTACTAATAAAACTAATTTTTATTATATAATTGATTTTTTTAGGAACAAATGCTCAAATTTTGTAAGTTAATTCTAAGTTTAAGGAAAACATTTGTTTCATGTAATTATGGATACGCACCATTACTTAGAAAGGCTTTTTAAACAGGAAAACTACATCACAACGATGCCATGAAAATCAAGGTAACAAGAATTTAATTTACATTAAAAGCCGTTTCATTATGTGTTTTTTATTTCAAGTTAATCTTGCATTCACATTTGCACGAGCATTTATGTTTTGTGTTTTAATTTTAGCAAAACCAGCTACAGGAATGCAGACAATGAACATGGCTTATGGACTTACACGAGAAAATGATCTAGTGATAACCCTTCCTAATGAAATTGACTCAAGTAACAAATTCTGTGGTCATGTGGAAGATGGACCTTATGATACTTTAATTTTGAAAAACAGCGAAGCCTTTTTAATGTAAACGTTTCCTTCGTGTACAACATTTGCCAAACAGCTTTTAAAGTCAATTCATCATTGTGTTTGCGTTGTACATGCGTTCAATGTAGCCTTTTTATGGAAACTCTCATTTTGAATGAAAAAGTAACAATGATAACAAGATATTGCTATTTGAACTTTTTACTGTATCTCCTTATGGTATTACTTGTATGAAGTCTATGACATAATTATCTGTCAGCTGGTTCTCGAAACATCATGAAATAGTAAAATTATAGTTAAAGAATGGGTGGACTTAACTGGCCAGAAAAAAATGCCGTAAATTTAAGTTTCATAAAATGTTTATTTTTTCTACCATGTAAGCCACCGATATCTTCACCGTGTATTCATGGTGCGGATGTGAATTTAACGTCGTATCCCAAACTTTCACCTTCAAATGCACACTGATTTGTTGTCGGATTTTTCCGTTATTTTCCGATCATAACAAGGAGCGGGAGTGACCGGTCGTGTGGAGACGCTCACTCCTCCATGGCAGCGGATCAAACCTGATTTTTTCTGGTCCATGTTTGCGCTGCTCCAGTTTTGTATTGTCTGATGGACTTATAAACTTGAATACTGTTTGTTATCTCCATGTATTTCATATACTATATATAAACCTTTCACGATTTTTTTCGGGGGGGGGGGGGGCACAAAAGGTATAAAGGGCAGAATATAATACTTTTTACATTTTCCTGAAATAAGTTATTTCCCTGTTTTCATATTTGGATAGATAACATCAAGTGAATACTTGTCCTCGATATTCGAAAGGGAAATATGGGAAAGTGTTTCCAATTGTCTGAAAACCGCTGTTATTCGCCAATTGTTATTGATTTGAATATATTTCATAGTCCACATACATGAATACCTAATTGTTTTTGTAGTGCTGGTAAATATAACTATTTATTTTCCTGTATATCTACGTTACATTCACATCTTTTACCTTAACTTCAAAATTTATAACGACTTTTTACATGTTTAATTATCATGTACTGTGTAACTCTATAATTCCTGTTGCTCATGGAATTTTATTTTATCCTGATCATGCTGTTTCATGCAGTAAATTCAGTCATGGGGAATAAACCTGGATTTTGTCCAAGTACATCCACTGGGTAAGCTTTGAATTTTAAGAATTTAGGTATGAGTAAGGTTAAGACCAGATTGACTTGAAGTTACTGTTCTAGCATAGTTTTACGATATGAATGTTTATATTTTATCTGTAGAAAACTGCAATGCTGTGAAAATTATCGCCGAGTAGGTGAGACTTGTGAAGGTATGACATCTTTCTTGTTCATCACCAGTCTCGTTTAAACTCACCATGTCGTAATCTCTATGATCAATACAATAACCTTGTCATCAAATACAGTTTATCACTGAGTCAAATGCTGACTGACGTTTTTCATACCAATTGTTAATTCATTATTTACGACTTCATGGCGGATATCTCCGTTATTCCCCGATCATGATTATGACAAGGAACACACGCCCGCTGTGATCGGTTGGCAGAGGACGCTCGCTCCTCCAGGCACCTGATCCCACCTTTGATGTTTTAGAGGTCCGTGCTTGCTCTGCTCCTATTTTGCATTGTTCTATGGAGTTTTGAGCTTGAAAATCTTTCGTTATCTCTATATATTTCATTTTTTAATCTGTAAATTGTATTTTAAAATGTTTAATTTGTAATCATTTTTTTAATTCTATTGTGTACGAGGAATATTTATTTGTTACAAAAAGATTTTTAAAATTAGTCAAGTTTTAGCCAGTATAATGTCGAAGACGAGCTATTTAAATGATGACTTAGAAAATAATTGATTTGACTTTGACTCTTGGGTTTTGCCTACAGTTCTTTATATCCATATATATCATTAGTGTCTTGATAAAATATATTGAAACATTGGCTAGATTGATTGTTATTTAACATCCCTCTGGAGAATTTTTCACCAATACTTAAAGACGCCACTACTTGCCAGTGAAAGACTACAAATTTTGTCCTATTCGATACTTAGGGCCATTGAGCTGTGAGGGATCTTCAACTTGCAAGCATCTATTGCAACACAGGAATTCAGATTTTATACGATCTTATCTTATATAAAATGTCTCAAACACGTCCCTCAGTGAGATTGAATCATTGATGTAAGGAACATCTTGAGAATTTTTACTCATACTCAGAGCAGCCCTTGCTCTACAGCAAGGAAATAATCCATAAGCTGTGGTTTCGATTTTAACTTTGAATGAGATCGTACATGTATAAACTGACTTCCTATACAGTAACAGGTCACGGTATAAAAAAGATACGTTTTCTTCAAAGGCCCTTCGTATCGGCTACACGTCTAAATCGGCAAACAGACAATACCCGAGTTATATATTTTACCAAATGATAGGCCTCATCGTATATCTTAAAGAAATATTTTCAATGTATTTTTTATTCTCAGTCATGAATATTTATGTACATGTATTCTTGAAAATTTAAGCGTAGTATACATTAAGTATTGTTTTTTTTTTTTTTTTTTTTTGTTGTTGTTGTTTTTTTTTTTGTTTTTGTTTTTGTTTTTGTTTTTGTTTTGTTTGTTTGTTTGTTTTTTTTTTTTTTGACAATGTTCTTTTTCAGAATGTTGGCCAGGAACATATAGTTGGAACTGTACACCATGTCCTGCGGGCTTTTATGGACGTCTCTGTTTAGGATCGTGTAATCAGTGTACGCCATGTGACCCAGTTACAGGGTGTGCTTCACCTAAAAGTAAGCATGCTTTCTTTATTTCAACCATAGAAAGCCTTTATTTTTAGATGACAGAAATTCAAATATCAATTGAAAAGGTTAAAGTAAAGTTATTATACATGTACGAATTGAAAAACAATAAAGAACAGGAAGGGCATGATAATGATGTGGAATCATCCAAAAAATGTGAATCAATTATGTTCAAACATTACCCTTCGTGGTAAATTAAAATCAAAATGAGGGATTCATTTTCCTATTTTCAGAGTGAGTTTCGTTCTCAGAAGTGCTTGAGAACAGTAAACGAATGAAGTCGGCAACATTCAAACCTAAAAATGTTTGAACAATAAGTCTGCATATAAAACTAATAGAAGCTGTCACATCCTTTCGTTATATGATGTGATTGATAGATAAGATTTAATTTCTAAAGATATTCGAGCTATCATTGCTATTTTTAACAATTTCCGTTCTACCAAAGTTTTCACAATGATGAAGCTTTTAATCCAAGATTAAGTAATAAGTTGTATTTTTTTCGTTTGGTGCTCTTCTCAGCACGACTGCAAATGAAATAATGAAACAGAAAAGTACTTCGAAAATTACGATTCATGAATTTGTTTATTTGAAAGTTTTGAGATGATTTTTATTATTATAAACAGTTTCCCCCATGGTACATGCAAGATGTTTCTTGTAATGATGTCAAGAAAAACGGAAGGACCTGTTATTGCCCTAGCAATAAGAACAACATTAATATTTCTAGTTACTATAAAAAGTTAACAAAGGACTCATAAAAAATCTCAAGTCTTGTTGATGCACGTCTTTCTTATGTAATTTTGATATAATTTGAATTTATGGGGACTTTTGGGGAGTCATAAATAACATGAATAGAGGGTGTCAAGTATATTTAATTGATAGATAGAATTTATTTATGTGTTATAATAAACAATATTATAAATTGTGTTGTGCAATAGATAAAACACGGAAAGAAAATTATCTTTATTTGATCATTAGTGGTAGTTTTTACTTTACTGCTATTTAGGTTCCTCTGGCTTTGGAGGCTCTGACTGGTGGATTAAAGCTGCATTCGGTGCTCTTAGCTGTGGAGCTGGTTTTACAGTTTTCATGCTTATTTACTGTAAACTAAGGTAAGTTTAAACAATGTCTCTGCAATATTTCGCTACATGTCGTTCCACTCATAGATACCAGGGTTGATCCAAAAGTAATGTAACAACTTCAATAAAATCGATACCCGTCGACATAATACAACAGAATTATTAATGATAGAAGCTACATTTATTTCAGATCAGACCTGAAAATTTCAATTCAACATGATTTATACTTTTCAAAATATCGGATTATATGCAACGTGCGATTATGGTAGTCGCCGCACCTACATACCTACATATGGTCATATGACGGATACGCGCCGTCATACATTTAAACGCTTCCCTTCGTTTCACTAAAATGTGTTTGAGATCTACGAACACGTTCACAAATTTCACTTTCTTAAAGAAAACTTGGTACCCATCGTACACTTACTCTTTCCATAATTAATTCCTCTGTCAAAATTCTTTGAACAGTAGTATGAGACCAACTTAAAATTATACATATCGCTCTAACCATCTGTCTTTATTGACAACGTCACACATCACTGAACATTTCCGTCAGTCCTCCTATCTTTCGGTCTTCTTGTCATCTGCTGAGCATTCAATGACCAATCACCCACCCAAAATTGCTGAAATCATCTAAACAAGTGTCTTATTTACATTCTTTCCTCTGTGAGTCTGGTGAATCAACGTAACTGTCTCTACTGGCGATTTCTCCATTTTGATGCAAACATGCAGTACAGTTTATTTTGGCTTTTTCGTTCATTTCAACATTGAACGAAATCACGTTCGAGTAAAATCACGATGTTTTTGATCAAATAATAGCAATTATGACTCATATAACTTTCTTCTTAAGACTAGAAAATGATGTAATTTTTTATCTTTTAAAATATTTTGTGATTAGGTGTTTTTAAAAGATGCATCTAAATGTATTTTCTTTATTCTAAAAAATGTACACTTTAATTTGTGACGATCGGTTACGACGCAGCAACACCCCCTATGTTCTATGTTTTAAACATCTATAAAATAGGTTCAGTTAAACATTACTGAATGAAAAATTCAAGTTTAATTACAGTTATATTTGTGCATCTTTAGGTATATTATATCTGATAATATGACGCCAATCATAAAAGATATGGACACTGTGACATTACTTTTGGATGAACCCTCGTACTTGTACAATGTACATGTACAACATTAGATTTTACAAATACTAACCACTATCTGGGTTTTCCCCTTAGAATTAACATTATAATAATTTTATAAAAGAATAAATGAAAACATTTTTGATAATTAATTTGATTTATTTAATGTATTACATTTCTCATTTTCATTCATTCACTTATTTTGTACAAATCCACTTGCAGTTGGTGAACGCAAATAATTATCATGTTATGTTTTACAGAGACTCCCAATGTGATAGTCTTCATTTACATTAATTACAATCATTATACAACAAATATACATGTATATATGCGATTGAATGAATTGTTACCCTGTTAATATTAGCCATTTGCTTTTCTTGCTATCTTTTTCACAGAGCAGGAAAATGTTTATGTCCATTTCGTTACATAGTTTTACAGAAAATTTCGTTGATAATGATACTGTTTATGTCAATGCCTGTGATTGAATACTTAATTCGTTAATCACTCAAAGCACATACGGAAGAGAAGTGAATTTCCATTACTTTCAAAAGTCTTAAAAATAAAAAGTACAGCAAAAACTCGTTTAGTATGCACACGGATATTTCGAATTTACGGATATAGCAAAGTCATCTTGGATTCCCACATTTATAAATTTCATGTCTTTTTGATATGGTTATAACAAATTACGGATATAGCGAAGCAATTTCACAGGTCCCATTGACTTCGTTATAACCGAGTTTTACTGTATAAAGAATTGAAAACAAACATTATTTACCTTTTATCAACAGGAAAAGAAGATCAAAAGAAAGGCAAGGTAACAATGTTTTTATTCAAACTAAGAGACATAGATAACTAGTACTTGAAAGTTTCATATTTACAAATAGCTTTAGATAATTTAATGCATTGCTTCTTGGAATTAGATATATCACCGCCAGACAATCGAACGAACAACACAACTGTTCAACTTAAACGTGAGAATAAACAATTGATGAACCTACAGAACCAAAATGGAGCGATCGACGTTCATTGTCAACAGAAAGAGTTAGAATACGAACCTTACGACACAATTAACTTGACATATTAAGATGTTTTCATGATGAAGAATGTTCAATGTTCATTTTGTGGCAAATGAGCTTAACAAATATGTACAGTTTTAACAAACAATGATTTTGCTTGTGTGATCTTTCTTAAACTAATTGAATCAAAAGTCAAATTTGGATTTTCGTTTTATAAGTCGATCCCAGTTATATTTTTTTCTCTTCAAGTCTTCTATGAGATAGATGTTAACAGTCGTAAATATTAACATCAACGATGATCAACCAATAAATCATCTGTATTTTTTTAAATCAAAGTCTGCCAAATATATTTGACTCGTATAAATATGTAAGAAATGGTATTTAAGTGACAAAAGAGTAAAGTTGTAATATGTAGAGCATTAAGATAGGATAAGCTAATACAGAGCATGAAATCGTTATACAAATACCTTATGATCCTTTGAAAACGTTAGATTGTGTGAAGTTTTTCCCTTAAGATTTTAGTTATTTAAAAAGATTGTGCATTTGACTTTACCTCAAAACTTTCATCAGTCAAAAGGATAATTATCGCCTGGAATGATCTCTACTACAGGTATTTTCAAAAAGGATACACTATTCAAAAAGGGTGTCCTACTATATTATATCACTGAGGGTTAGACTTTGGAATTTATAATCATCTCGGTTTAAGTACCACTTTGAGTACTCCGTCTTGTAGACAGCGAGAGGAATACAGGAAAAGGAAACTAGGTATTTATTATCATATGACTGCAATGCGATGCATTTCCTAGTCTCAAACTGTAGGTTGTAAATGCAGAGAGTCCCTATCTCTCAATTGGCGATAGAATTTATTTTTATTATGAACTCTGTGGACAACTTTGCCAAACGCTGGGCTTAATATGAAAGGGAAAATATAAAAAAAGCAGTGTTTTATAAACAGCTTTCGAAAATAAAAATATATTTGCAAAATATCTATGCTATCCTTTTTAACACAAAACTGGGGCTGAGGAATACACGCTATGTTTCTTGCATTAAAACAAATGTTCCAACAATCATCTTTATATGTAGCACTCATAATTACAATAATTGTAGTTTAGAATAATTAATTCATGATTCTAAAACTAGAAACCCACCTTTTATGCATAATTTTACTCTATTAAGGAAGCTCTAAAAGCTATTAAAGTGCTTTTTAGACTTGAAGAAAAATATATCACATAAAGGTGTACATGACCTATTTAGTGATTTTTCAATGTAAGATACCTGCCTTATTTCCGCAGAAAAATTGTGCAAAGACATTGGACTCTCCGTGAGCAGATATCACTGTTGTTTACTTACATAGGGAAAATTAATGAAAAAAAATGAATAACTTTTATTTTGTCTAATATAATGCTTACATTTAAATCTATTGCAAATTGTGTTATGAACTGTGAATAGCCATTTTTTCTATCTATATACGGATTCCAAAATGGCGCCGCTCGAGGTAAGACGCGCCGAGTGAGGGAGCGTGGAGCGGCCGAGTTGACAACTTTTATAGGACTGAAACATGGTCAAATTGTGAATTCAGACTTGCTCAGGGCGGATACATGCAGTGGTTTCCTTATTTGAAATCTAGGAGTGGTATTTTTAAGGAATTAGATCGAAACGATAGTGTAGTGAGTAAAATCTATTTATAGCCTGTAGATCTACATGAGTACTATTGACAAATATTTTAAGATGCCTTCTACTGGTGTTACTACTCGTAAAGGTTCTACTCCAGCTACTAGCAAATCTCCAAAAGACAGTCAAAAGGATAGCCAGAAGGGAATTCTTTCCTCTGGGTCCTCTCCAAAACGTACGCAGGAAAATTCCATGCAAATAACAATGGATTCAATTCAAACACAGCTGACCGAGATTAACAACGAACTCAAAAAGACAATAAAGGTTAGTGATATTCAAACAGTTGTGAGAAGTGTTGTAGAAGAATTATTTAGTAGTTACCAAGAAAAGTTTGAGAAGAAATTGAACGATGAAGTCGTAAAACTCAGAGAAGAGAATGAGAAACTACATCAAGAAAACAAAGATTTGCAGAAAGAAATTAGGGAACACGAAGAAGTATTAAACGACTTGCATAACAGAACGGAAGAAAACGAATGGATGACAAGGTCAGCAATTTCAAAAGCAAATTTCAATGAACAACATTCGAGGAAGAATAATTTAAAAATTCATGGTTTACCAGAGAAGAAAGGGGAAGAACCCTTACAGGTTGTGAATGAAGTGCTCGAGGAAGTGGGTGAACAGATTAAAGAAGATGACGTCCTAGCAATCCATAGGATTCCAGGAAAGAAAGACCAACACCGGCCAATTATAATAAAGCTTAAAACCATGGAAGCCAAAGTAAAGGTCATGAAGAAGCGATCGGACATTAAAGAACTAGAGTTACAGAATGATGTCAAGGTCAAAGTAACGGATGACGTGACACAAGAGAATGCAGCCCTTATAACAAGACTCCTGCAGGACCACAGAATATCCGCGGCATGGTACTTTAATGGGCATATTTACGGAGAATGCGGGAAACGAAGAATCAAATTTGATTTATACGATGATATTGACAAGAAAATACGGAAAAGATGAGGCGATCCGGACTTGGTTCTTTAGTTAGTCGAGGACGCATGTATATCCGGTGAAATAAAATGGACATGACTGTCACTGTGATGACAACGAAAACAGGGTATAAGTAACACTAAACTTGTCAACTTGTGAGCCATCCAGGAATTATGCAAATATTTTTGTTTGTTTGTCTGTGTTTGTCTTTGTGTGAAAGATGTATGTATGTTTGTTTGTTGGAAAAGAAATTTTATTTCGATCGAAAATGCCTTGAACGTACAATTTTGTTTTTAGACAACATTTACTTGTCAAAGCATAGTTATAGATTGTGTAATACAGGTGGCTACGGAATAGTGAAATGAGTTTTAATATTTTAACATTTAATTGTAGAGGGCTTGGGGGACTAGAAAAGATGAGAGACGTGCTTAACTATTTAAAACAGAAAAATTTCTCAATTACTTTATTACAAGATACTCATTTTACTCTTGATGATTATTCACAAGCACAGCAATGGTAATATTATTACTTCACAGGAAGAAATTTTATCAGAAATTGAGAAATTTTATAAGAACCTATACTCTTGCTTTGATAATAAATTACAAGATGTGAATCTAGAACATATAATTAATAAAGATGATATCAGGGTTCTGGATGACAACATGTCCAATAATTTAGAAGGATGTATAACATATAAAGAAGCCCTATCTGCGTTAAAAAAATGAATAATGATAAAAGTCCAGGTAGTGATGGCTTTACAGTAGAATTTTTAAAATGTTTTTGGAAGGATCTTGGAAGCTTTCTTATCAGATCAATAAATTTTGGATTTAATGAGGGAGAATTATCCATAACTCAGAAACAGGGAATTATTTCTATATTACCGAAAGGTGATAAACCAAGAGAATTCCTTTCAAATTGGCGACCAATATCACTTCTTAATACTACATATAAAATTGCTTCATCATGTATAGCAAATAGGATTAAAAACGTTCTCAACTATTTAATTCATGACAATCAAAAGGGCTTTCTTAGAGATAGATTTATTGGGGAAAATACACGAATGATCTATGATGTAATTAATGCCACATATGAAAACCATATTCCTGGTATGATATTACTAATAGATTTTGAAAAAGCATTTGACTCCATATCATGGAAATTTATGTACAATACGTTGCAATTTTTTAATTTTGGCCCTGACCTTATTAAATGGGTTTCAGTACTATATAATAAAGCTAAATTATGTGTTATTCAAAATGGCATTTTTTCTAAATTTTTTGAAATCGGTAGGGGGTGTCGTCAGGGTGAACCGATATCTCCTTACTTATTTAACCTTTGTGTAGAAATTTGGACATATGATACGACAAAATAAAAATATCAAAGGCAATAAAATAGGGAAGGAAAAAGTCTGTCTACTACAATATGCAGATGACACAGTTCTTTTTTTGGATGGATCAGAAAAGAGTTTAAAAAGTGCACTTGAAAATATTTTTTATAAAAAAAGATGGTTCAATTGGAAATGTCTATTTAATGTGTCAAATTTTGAAAATGTTCTTGACTAATTATTGTTAATATACTTAGTGTCTTCTTTTCCAACATGTATGAAAGGACGTGTGAAAGGTTTTGTATATTTGTGCGTTTGTTATGAAAATAAATAAATAAATAAAAAAAAAAAAAAAAAATTTCTATCTTACTTCTGGGGCAGATCACTCCAACAGCCTTAAACTACCCTCTAAATAGAAATGTTTAGTGTGCAGTTTTTAAAGCTTCCTAAAATATCTTCATTTTTTTTTCTCATTTTAGGTATTTAAAATATTCTAAAATTCTTTTTGGAAGGTTTTCTACAAACATTTTCTTGGCAAGATCTCTGTTAGAATTCTCTTTGTTCCACGTCCTCAAGTTTGTAATTGAAAGTATTATACATTTCCCTCCATGTTATGTGTATATATGACCATCAGAAATGAATGTTACACTGCGTTGCTTATTATAACTCCGGGATTCTGACCTCTGTTTTGTAATCTCGTCATGACATTGTTCTTCCTAAATTAAAAGAATTAATAATACATTATTTGATCAGTAAACATAAACATGATAAATATTGTCAAAAATTCATATCAATCTATTTCATTTGTTTGCAGTAGAATATACCTGGGAGCTTCATCAGATTTCTTTTCACTCGTTTTGGAATAACTTGTTCTTTGCTTTAGGTCCTATATTAGACAAAATACAATGAAAGTAGCGTACAGAGCATGAATTATTTATTGTGGCCGAACTGACGAATTACACATATGTCAGTCATACCTTTTGTCTTTTGCGTCTCAATATTGCCGAAAATGTGTAGATAATTGGATTCAATGCTGAATTGATTGGGAGAACTACAACAATGACCCAGGCATATACTTTAGCTGTTACATCCTTGCCAAAGAAAGTTAGGAGACCTAGAAATGCCAATTATAGAGGCAGATTATAGACACAATTAAGATTACTCTCCATTAGGGTCTTAAGTGTTAAATGTTTCTTAGTATAAAACTATGAACATTTCGCATTTAATGAACTGCAGAATTGTATCTTTTATTGTTGATTACAATGTACTTACCAATGACACCAATTGGGATCCAACAAAACATATCTGTCACTGCCACCATTATCAAAGTTTTTGCCAAATTGATTTCCCTTTTCTTTTGCGATGTGCGTTTTGAGCTAACTTCCTTTCCCATTCGAATAACATCAGTAAAAATAACAAATTGTCCCAGTAGTATGGCTATGAAAATGATGAAATTCGCTGCTACGAAGATCACCATAGAGTATTCCCATCCAGGTTTACGTAGAACGGATAGAGGTAAGGAAATACAAATACCGGAACTAAAGTAATAGTCATCAAAATACTGATTTCCAAACAAAGGGAGCAGAGATAACAAAAGAGAAATTGTCCACACTAAAACAGAAATCAGTTTTGCAACCAAACGACTTTTTTCAAATTTTCCAAAAGGAAATCGAATAATAGCAATTCGGTCTATTGTTATTGAAAGTACAAACAGGGCAGATGCTTCACTAGAAAGAGTTGCCAGAACACCAGCAAATGTGCATAAAGGACTTTGTCTCCATGAGTCGTCTTCAAAACCATATCGGCCAGTAAACATTAAATTGGCTATGGCTATAATATAGAGATACACTCCCATAAAGAAATCTGCTATCCCAAGATTCATAGAATAAATGAAGAACGATATTGTCTTTCTTTCTCTTAGTACTAAAAGTCTATAAAGCAGCCCCAATAAGTTTCCAAATACAGAGAAAAGGGCTATGTACCAAATTATGATACTGAGAAGAGGGGTGTCTATCAAATTATAGCAAGATGATATCTCATTTACTGGTGCTGAACAATGTATTTTGCCCACGGCCTTTGGTTGGGCACAGCAAAGCGTGAAGGAATCTACTTGAAGAAATTGAATATTAATAAGGCCATCAAACATTCCTTCTACAACTTTGATATTGTTGTTTTGTAAATAAAGATATTTCAAATTTGAGAGATAAATGAAATGGCTGCGTTTTAATGAGCGAAGGCGATTTTTTGACAGGTCTACGTTAATGAGTTTTGAAATGACTGAAAAGGCATTTTCATGAATATCAAGTAAACGATTATTTCGTATTTTTAAGTATAGAATATTGGGCAAATCTACAAAATCATCTTTTTCGATTTTCTCAATAAAGTTTTCGGACAGATCAAGGTACTGTAAACGTGCTTCTGATTTCTTAAAATTCAATTTGAAATCAATTGTCTCAAGTAAATTTCCTTGAAGATATAATATTTGAACAACAGGTGACATATGCCACTTAGTGAGAAGGTTATAACTAAGATCAAGTGTAACGGTTTCTATGACAGAATTGGCAGCATTGGGTTGACGAGTTAAATTACAAGAACTGAAATTTACTAAAGGATTGTCGTAAAAACTATGAATTATAGAAGGAAATCCTCTACTTTCCGATAGGTCTACGTGTACACCAACCATATATGCTATCATTATATCAATTGGATTTTTCATTGTACTTTTGTGAACATGGAACTCGAATGTATGTTTTGTTTTTCTGGAGAGCCTTATATTTTCAAATGTGCTATTTACAACACTAACAATTCGAAGATTGTCGGTTTCATCTTCAATATAGACCATATCAATTGAGCTGTGGCTGACGTGTAATGTTTCAATCCAAACATTAGAACTTATATATAATAATTGCAGTGTGCAATGAACAAGGATTATTTCCCTTAAATTTAGATAACTCTCGTTAAAAACCAACATTTTCTGCACAAGACCATTAAACTTAAAAAGAGGTTGCGTAAACAGGCGCGTTATTTGAAAAACAACTGAAAGAGAGACCAGCGCAGAAACAGTTGATAGGGCAGGATAGGAAACATATATTTGAAGTGTCGGATTCACATTCCTGTCCACTATAGCAAACATTCAGACGAGAAGTTTCCGAAACAGGGAATTTTTAGTTTTCAATTGATCTCTTCATTTCTTTTCCATCTCGTAGCGAAGACGCATTCAAGTATGGCGACCCTGAGCTTTTTGAGCAAATGTATTTTAGGTCGCTGAAATCTGAAATAAAATTAATCGTGGAATATTGATTAAAAGAAAAGACTTTTATCAACAGTCTCGTTTAAAGTCATCATTTCCTAAGCTGTATATTCGATACAATGACCTTGTCAGCAAATAAAATTTATCATTAAGTCAAATGCTGACTGACGTTTTTCATATTAATTATTAGTCCATTATTTATAAATTGATTGACGACGGATTTTACCGTTATTTCCCGATCATGACAATGAGCACACGCCGGGTGTGATCGGTCAGCAGGTGATCTTCACTCCTCTATGGCACCTGATCCCACAACTGATGTTTCAGAGGTCTGTGTTTGCTCTGCTCTTATTTTGTATTGTTATATTGACTTTGATTTTGAATACTGTTCGTTATGTTCATATCCTTTTTCAAAAGTTTTATTCGTTTGAAAAAAAAACATTTAGGGTCAGAGGAAATCTAATACAATTTATGAATTTATCTTCAAAATTTAAATTCAAAACACCTTGGCAATTGCAATAAGGTTTTCAGTGCTTTGATAAACCATATCCAATAGTGTACCTCAAATATTCAATCACGCTTTGAAAGACACTAGACCTCAAGTTAAAGTTTATACTTTTTTAAACCCTTGCCTACTATGCATTCAATAAATAAAAGAAATGCAAATTTAATGCATGGAATCATCATAAATTTTATCATGAAATATGGAGCTAACAAACAACAATCAAGGTCATAAATCCATTGAAACCAAAAAAAATTGAGAGCATAACAAACAAGGGCCTCACAAAACATCAAAGGTGCGGAACAGGTGCCATGGAGGATTAAACGTTCCCTGTCAACTAGTAATGCTAGTCGTGTGCACCTTGTCAGGATAGAAAAGCTCTCAAGATTATTTCATACACAATTTCGGTCACTGTGTTTTATTGTAACCTCATTGCAAATTGTTCATTTAAAGGTTTTACACATGTAATTCAGGACACGATTGAAGATTAATTAAAATATACATATACACATGTATATAAAATATGCAAAATCAAAACGGTAAAATTATTAAACAAAACTATGACTCCCCGTTCAAACAGTCGGGGTGAAGGTCACAAACTCTTGAAAGTAGTACACATTCAACACGATATCGACTGCAGCGAAAATCGTCAGAACGACAACTACCTAAATCCAATAAACACCCTAAGGCTTTATTTTTTTATTCACATTTTGAACAGCTGAGTACAATAATTTTTAAAGTGAAGATCACAAATGTTTAAAAAATGGTACAATTTTTCAACACGATATCGATTTTGCAGCGAAATTCGATGAAAACAGATTTGACAACTACCTAGATAATAGAACACCCTAAGGCTTTAATTTTTTATTCACATTTTGAATAGCTGAGTACAAGAATTTTTAAAGAATTTTATGTGAAATGTTTATAAATTGAAATGCATAAAAGTTATTTAATTATTATGACCATCAATACAATATCTGTACTTACTGCAGGCTCCTTTCACTGTCGAGATGTTGTGGAGAAAAACTAGCCCATAGGTATTAAAAATGTCATACACTGCTCGAAACACGATCTGAAAACAGCAATATGTCATTGTACCGAAGACCCGTTGACTGGGGGATTTCCCCTCCAATAATGATGTTACGCCCAAGTATTCTTCCTAAACTCCGAATAGGGGTAGAAACCCAAGATGTTACCTTCTATTTCAATTCTTAAATACAGCTCTGTTAAGTATTGTTATTATCTACAATTTTTATAACACTAAATGACTCGTTTAGTGCATGACTTAAGTCTGTCAAATGTTGCTTACAGTTTATTTTCAATACCATTGGAGCAATAGTTTATGTGCACAAAATGCTGAAAAAAAATGTTGATATCATGATTTCGAAACATGCAGAAATAGTATTGGCTCTTAATTACTTTAATTGGTTTATTTAACAACAAAAACATAATAAAAATACGGTTATAAAGAACTCTCTCATATGAAAATCGATATTGGCTATGAGGATTTTTATCCCTTTAGAGACTTAAATGAATCATATTCTTTATACGTGTACTGTAATATAAATTTTGTTTAAAAGAAACTACCTAAATATATAGCTTAACTGTAATAATATAATCTTAAAAATAGTTATCTGCTGTTAAAATACCTTAAATTTGATTCCAACGGGAAGAGTGTTCGAAGATCTACTGAACTTTATAATGGAAGAATTTCCATGGACACCTAAATAATTAGAGAGCTCGAACGGTTCAAAATAGTCCTTTATATATGCAACAACTAATGCGGCATTTCCAAGAACGAGATGGTCGTATTGCAGGCATCGATGTTCCATTGAAAGAGAAATTTCACCACTTACAATATCGCTCAATCTTTGAACAGGAGGTGGAAAAGAATATATTAGTATCGTCGCTAAGACAAACGTATCTGTGAGCTGATAAATCCTTTCGCTGATATTTCCTGGAATTCCTAGAAATAATTAAACATTCAAATTTTAATTTTGGCAAAATATGTGTTTATACATGACAATTTTTAAATGTGTAACTGCATTTTACTGCTGCCCTTCCTTGTACGAACCGTTCAGTTTGATCGAATGCAATCGCCTTGGAGTCCACGGATCGCCATCTTGGAACATAACATTGAGGAAGCAAGCTTTTAAACTACCACGAAGACCACAGACTCCGATGGATCGCTCATACCAAATATTGTTATCTGGAATTGTCCATCCACATGTACCGTTGAGGAAGTCACAATTTGCTAAAATTAAATAACATTTTTCCAGCTACATTGTGTATATCGATAAAGCTTGAAAAAATTATCATGACATTTTTATACAAAATATTTAAAAGAAGCCTTAAGTTTAGTTATAGTTTTGTCCAGATAGCTTTTAATTTTACTCGACATAAGCGTCTCCAGCTCTTTTGCAACGTTTCTAAATCAAGGTTGTGAACTTTCGCTTCAGATTTTCAAACTTAGAAGGAACCATAAATTTTTCGTCATTTTAAAAGCAAATGAGTGCTTTCCGATCCCCGAACACAATGAATAATACAACTAAATGGGGCAGATATTATTCCGGATTGATGATATGATTTTCTAATTTTCCTTATATATTGCAATGAACAGAAATCTGTCATATTAAATACAATATGGTCGCTATGGGAAGAATTAAAATGTTCGCCATTTCTCCATTTCCGTTAGTTTAAGGAAATGGTAACGACTTACAAACTCAGACACTTTCATTTTCTGTTAGGGTTTTTTTCTGTGGTTAGTCCACTTTACATTGGTTTTTCATACTTCATATTGACCTGTTTTGAAGTCTTTATTGCAATTTATATTACAACATTATGTATTGTTAAATGCCGTCTAAGATCTAGGATCGGTTAATTGTCCCCCGCTTTTGCGAAAGCGAGGGGATATTAAATCTCAATCGTCTGTCCGTCAGTCTGTCTAGCTGTCCGTCCGTCACAGAAACTTTAACCTTGCTCTTAACTTTTGATTTAGTAAAGCTATGACTTTCATATTTCACATGATTATTTATTTCTTGTAACAAGACCTTTCTTTGGGTACTACCAAATTTAGCCTTTTGACCTTGGAGTTGGACCCACTTTTACACAAAAATTCAAAATTTTTACTTTGGACATATCTTTTGAATGGTAGAAACTAGGACTTTCATATCTCTCATATGTATTCTTTGTTGCAAGGCATTTCAGTTGATACCAATAATTTTTACCTTTTGACCTTGACCTTGGAGATTTCCTACTTATATGAAAAATTAAACCTTGACAATAACCTTTGAACGATAACGGCTAGGGCTTTCATCATTCACATATGTATTTTTTGTGGCAAGACCTTTAATAAGATATCAAGAACTTTGACCCTTTGACCTTGATCTTGGAGTTTAACCTACTTTTCAAAAACTTTGACCTTGGTCACAACTTTCGAACGGTAGATACTAGGACTTTCATCTTTCACATATGTATTTAATTGTGGCAACACCTTTCATTAGATACCAACTATTTTGACCTTTTCACCTTGACCTTGGAGATTTTTGAACTTGTGGAAAAACTTTAACCTTGATCATAACTTTAGAACGGTAAGGACTAGGGCTTTTATACTTCACATATGTAATGCTTGTGAGAAGACCTTTCTTTTGATACCAAGAACTTTGACCCTTTGGCCTTGACCTTGTAGATTGACCTACTTTTCAAAAACTTTGATTTTGGTCACAAGTTTTGAACGATAGATACTAGGACTTTCATATTTCACATAAGTATTTTTTTGTGGCAAGACCTTTCATTGGATACCCCCAATTTTTCCTTTTGACCTTGAAGATTTCCGTACTTATGAAAAAACTTTAACCTTGACCATAACTTTTGAACGGTAAGGACTAGGGCTCTCGTACTTCACATACTCAGTACGTAATCCTTCTGAGAAGTTCTTTCATTGGATATCAAGAACTTTGACCCTTGACCTAGGAGATTGACCTTCTTTTCAAAAACTTTTACATTGGCCATAACTATTGAACGGTTAGGGTTCGGGTTTTCATCCTTCACATATGAATTACTTGTGACCTTTCTTAAGAAATCAACAACTCAGATCCTTTCATCTTGGAGTTTGACCTACCTTTCAAAAATTTATCCTTGACAATAACTTTTGAACATTTCATAATCGTATTTCTTGTCTGAAAACCCTAATTTTGGTAATAATATATTTCATTTGCATTTAAGAAAAGTTAAATTTTCGTTATATTGCCATACGGGGTCATCAGTGGTTCACAAAAACATCTTGTTTCTTATATTGAGAAGAGATAGGGCTCTCATATTTGACATGTGCATATGATAAGTTGTTCATATTAGACACAATATGTCATAAAAATATTTCACCCACAAAGCGGGGGGTCACAATTCTCTGAATTTGCTTGTTTTCTACCTTAAGGTGCATTCTATGTGATGCTCATTAGAATCATCTTTTTTTCTTCCCTTTAGTCTTATTAAGGAATTAACATGTATGTTCCGTGATCACGTTT